AAACTGGAAAACAGCACGACGTGGGTAGATCCTCCCGTGGTTGAGAGGCGGCAGGGGGGCGTCATCCGGATACTGGCACTATTTCTCGTTGACGGACGATGACCTTGGCGTCGTCCGGATACTCGTAGCTCTCCTTCAGGAACAGATCTGCTTGCTTGATAAAGGCCTTGAAGATTTCTGGTCTTAATATTCTGCTGAGGCGATTGAATATGTCTGCCGATGTCGTTCTGCCAAAATCCTGCCGACCGGTGCTACGCTGAGGGCACGGATGTGTAGTATCCGGCTCGAAGGACCAAAATTGTTGAGTAGCGGAGGATGCTACCTTCCACGAGAGCCCCCCGGGAGAATGCTTCGGAAAAACGTGGACGAAGAAAATGAACACTTTCTTCTGAACTACGTATTTATTTGCACTCAACGGCCGGTCGTACGGCTTTCTTGCACAGAACAACGTCTTTACAGTAACGCGCGTATGCGTACGATAGCTAGTACGCGTATCTGGATGACACAGCGAATATATTTTGCGCTCGGATGGATAACGTGTCGCACGTGGCTGATATCGCGATCACGATCGATCCTGTTCTGGCGGAATCAATGGCGATGCCGGTAGCGCCGCATGCGCGAAGAGGGGCTGACGGGGCCCGAAATTAGCCGAATACAATGGCGTGGACGCCTCGCGGAAAATTCCTACGCCGGAGCAAGCAAGTCCCTTCACGAGAAGGATATTAACGAGACGCGGTCAAAAAGCGTATCGAACAATAGACGAAAGGGGACAAGATTGAAAAATTTTGCAAAGAAGAAGACGACGACGACGACGACGACGACGACGACGTTAACGACGACGACGACGTATCTGAATGACATAAAATCGGGCAAAAAAAATACATACACTTTATGCGCCTATGCATCAAATGCACTTATGAACATCGTATTACAGCATTGTGATTGGAAAAATATAAATTTTTTCACAAAATAGGCATTTATCGATAATATTTATATAATTAAAAGATATAATAATTTATTCCTACAGAAACGTTATCCGTCCGGTAAAGGATACACTGTAGCGTCTCTGTATAACCGTCATGTAATGAAAAAATATACTTGGCGGGAGCCGCTACCGCGTCTCCTGATTTCTTTATATCCGAAAGGACAACCATTGGTCCCTCATCATTCACAACCATGCAATTCCCATATTGTGGTGGTTTAATCACACTAAAAGTACTCAAAATTTTATAAATTTGAAAAAAAGTTGGTACTCCTGGATGATTATTCGATCCTGCTGCTTGTCTTACTGTTCTAAAAAATCTCTAATATGCACACGTAAAAAAAATGTTTCAACGCACAATAATTATTGAGAAATATTGGGATTTCTTTATTGCAGAGTGATACGTGTGTGTTGTTACAAGGCGTAAAGCAGACTAACCTAGAATAATAAAAATACATAGACATCGTATGATAACGAAGAGTGCGCACGCCATCTGTCTTACAAAGAAACAACGTTTAATATACAGCAATAAGAATAAGTGAGACAAACGTCACATAATCAACACCCCCTCTTGCCGTAGTCTCACTCTATGTTAAGAATCTTGCAACAGTTGAGCAGCTTTGGGCGGAACAGCGGTTTCGTTAGCATGTCTGCCGGATTCTCTGTGCCAGTAACATGCTTAACCTCCACTATGTTATCTCCAACAGCTTGGCGCAGAAAATTGAAACGAACATTAATATGCTTCGATCTCTTCTTGATCTCCTCGGACTTTGACAACTTGATGGCTGATTCATTATCGCAATAGAGCATAGTCGGACCTTCAAGAGATGTCATCAACTTCCTTATAAGATCCCTAATCCACATTGCCT